AACCAATAAGAGCAGAACATATTCACAGCATACAGAAAGACATCGCATCAACTCACACTTCCCAGAGCTGCATCCTAGTGAGTGTGAGGACAGGTGATGCCAGAATGTGCAGGAAGAACATCAAGAGGACGGTGACTCTCAAGAGCCCAGAAAGGGCTTTCTCCAATGGGAAAGCTCGGGCTGTTTTGCAAAAATAACTCCAAAGCAATGAGGGTCAAGCTAGAGTGTCCCAAGTAGGAAAAATTATTGCTTGCCGTGTCCAACCCAGGAGCTGCACCATCATTTGTCCTGAGGGAAGGTGACTCCAATGGCCTTCCTCGCCTCCTCAAGAATTTCAGCCAAGAGCTCACTCTCTGCCAGAGGAACTATGGGACTTTCCTTAAGACCTTTACGCAGGCACTCGCAGACGTGGTTCGCTTCATAACTCATGCATGATCCATTTAAAAAATTGTAGTTTTTCCCAAGGGCAGGCGGAGGGAACTCTTTACGCTCACCATTCACTACCAACTCCGTTGGGCACCACGTTTTGCAAATCTGGGCCATGCCCTTGGTGCCAATCACGTATGCTTTGTTGGGGAGGTTGGAGGTGATGCTACAGGTGGAGCTGCCGTGGACCCTCCCGGCTACTGAAGTAGCACACTAACGGTGTCGTCCACACCTGTTTCACCTTCCCACGGCTGAAACCTTCTCGGGCTTCTGCACACCAAAGACCATAGAGAGGAACTGCACGCAGTAGATGCCTAGGTCCAGCAGGCTGCCGCCGGCCTGGCTCCAGTCTGTGGATGGGGGTAAATGGCTCAATTCTGCCCCAAATTCTGCCCGGGCCACTCGTAGGTCCCCGACAGTTCCTTGGGCCAAAACTTCCCGCAGAGCCTCCATAGCAGGAAAAAAACCGGCTCCAGATGGCCTGCAAACCAGAGAGGGGAGCCCAGGGATAAGGAGGCTTCAGAACTCAGGAGGTAATCAGTCACATCTCAGCAGCAACGTTTTTATGCAATTTTTACATCAGCAGAACAGAGAAAAGTAATAAATCAAGGCACTTTTAAAGTAAAGACATCAGTAGCTGGGTTAAAGCAAAAGCATCTCTGGCATAACCTCGGATGTCACCTGACGGCATCCTTAGCTTTGAGGTTGGTGAAATCTAAGGGGTCCGTTTGTGCATTCCGAAAGGATTTACCTAATAGCCACAAAGATGGCAGGCCACCTGCAGAAGTGGGCAATAATGGCTGTTTGGAGGACTTAAGATAACTCAAGATAATTCGTCCCCTGGCCTATAAATTCCATCCCTCCACGGCCACTGACGTTCTAATCAGTCAATCAGCCTTCTAGAATGTTTAACGTAGGTGTGGCTTTTTTTCTAAGAGCATCAGGTCACATATTTCAGGGTAATTTTCTTTCAGACAGACGTATCTATTCCTGGGAGGGCAGAGCAGGAGCCCCCTGGGCAGTGCGGCTGTGATGTGGGACTCACAGGCGCCTGGTGGCAGTGGCCGGTGGATGAGCACCCCCCAGAGGGTACAGGGCAGTCCAGCTGACGCTTCTACCACAGCCTCCTTAGAAACTTTGGATAAGTTCTAGCGTGTTTGAATTCAAAAGCATCTTAGAAAAAAGAAAGCCAAACTAACGCAGAAATTAAGTATATGTTATTATAATTAGTAAAGAAATTAAATACACTGTTAGCAAAAGTACCCAGCTCTCTTTAATGAATTGTAACATTTGAGAAAATAGGCTTAGGCCAGGCATGGTGGTGAAAGCACTGGGGTGCAGAGGCAGGAGGATGTCTGTGAGTTCAAGACCAATCTGATCTACACGAAGGTAGATGGGTATCAACACGGTTTTATGAGGAAATGGGTCATATCCCACGACGGCAGCAAGGGTACTGATGGCCACACTGGCTTCTGAGGAAAGGGTATACTTCTCAGTGATCTGCAGCTTTGGGGTGGGCTGGAGAGAACTTTGGGTAACAAATAGCATCCCGCTCCTCAAAGAAGAGCTTAGCCTGCAAATCCAGCCTCCCTCTGTCGCCTAAGAGCAGAGCCAGGAGAAAAGAGGTGCCTGTGAGCAGCAGCCAACAGCGGGGTCCCTCTACCTGACACCCCAACATCTGGACTTCTAGGGCAGAACGTCAAAGTAGGCAATCCAGACAAGTGACCATCCAGAGCAAAGCAATAGCAACTGGAATAGAGAAATGAACGTAAAATAGCCAGGTTCTGTGATGCATCCCACTTTCCCAGAAGCCTGACTGTATCGTACGTGGGATTCAGGCAGTATCCTCAGAAGAATGGCCTCTTTCCAGGCCAGTGCCTCCCTACCTCATCCCCTGGGGAAGTACTGAGAAAAAGCAGCTAGCTCAGAAGCAGGACTGGGGACTCTGAGATAGGAAACTGATGTCTCTGGTTCTGGGAACAAGTCATTGTTCTTATAATCAGGACAGCAGGGACTGAGGAGAGACCCCGATCTATTCGGGATCCAGCTGATCCTGTTTACTGAACACTTGCTGTATATGATGAACCCTACTGGATGCTATCATGAGGGAAGAAGTAGAGTTAAGGGGCCACTCTGCAGAAACTGGTGCAGTGAGCAGAGACTGTGTAGTAGACTTCCAGAACCTACAGCTGGATGCAGAGGACTGCGGAGTATTTGGGCCCAGCCAGCACAGTGCAGCCAGATTTGAGTTAGGTGAGGAGAGGAGGGAGAAGGATTCGTGGAGAAGCAGGTAAGGCTGAAAGTAGGTTTTGAGCTGCACGAAGGCTAGATAGGTAGAAGCCTGTGTGGTATCCAGGGACCAAGTTCCTCCAAGAGCACAGACGGCCACCTTCAAGGACCTTGGAGAGTAGAAAGGCACAAAGGTCTGTCCACAAAGAATGAGTGATGATAGTACATCGGGGTCTCTGTGCAAGGGACCCCATGGTCACTGGGCTGGGCAAATCTGCACACAACGAGATGGAAAAGCCAATAGGCAGGAGAAGGACACTGGCTTCAGGGGAAGCTGGAGGTAGGAACTCTGAGTAGCCTTATTGAAATAGGAAGGGGGCTGTTACTGCCTCCAGTTGGTCTCCTGTTCTTTATATCCCTGCCTGTCACTGAAGATGCTAGCCGGCTTCCCGACAGCCATAGCGGGCAGCTCCTGAGGTGTGTACAGGACAGGATGGTTCCTGGCGAGGCTATAGGTGTGGGACGAGTTCCCCTCACACCTGAGGCTTGGCTGTTGTCCCTCTGTATACTCAGTTTCTCAGAAGCAGGAGGTCATAGTTAGATTTGTGTTTAGAAAGGCCCCTGGCCCCAGGAGAGGCTGTCTCAGTGAAGACCAGGTCTGGTGAGGGCACCCAGGGAACCAAGCTCAGCTCCAACCCCTTTGTCCTTTCTCCTGGGTCTCTTGGTGTGGGACCATTGCACAGTAGTGACACAGACACAATACCGGTGTGTTTGGGGCAGCTCATTCCCTGTGACTACAGCAATAAGAACAGCTTTAGAGGGAGAATGTTCTAGTCAGGATTTTTGTTCATTTTCTAAAACATTTTAATTACACTTTCATTCTGCTTTTTCTTTTATCTATAGGTTCGTAATGAAGAAACAAGCAGAACAGTAATGAAAGGAATTCAGCAGGCTCAAACCTTTTGTCTTAGGGATACCCTACTCTGTTTGCATACCCTCATACCCTTTGAATTTGGAAATCGGTTTGTGTAGGCACGAGTGGTGTCTGATATGCAAATGGGCTATGTAAATCAACAGGGTGCAGCCTCAGGTCTCTAGGGCAACAGAGCACCTGACAGCAGAACCAGGCAGTGCTGTGGTGTCAAAAACCATTGGCAGCTCATGCTGGAACAATCGGTGTCTATGACCTCCTGGGCTCTGAACAACAGGACTTATTGCCCAACCACAGGACCTATGCCTTACTCCATAGGTGGTGCATCAGGTCAGCTCTGGGCACTGGGCCTCTTTTGTAGCCATTGCCTGATTCTGTGAGAGGCTTGCAGCCAGCTCTGGGGGACCATGCTCCTACTTACCATGCTAAGGAGCAGCTCAAGCTCCTCATCATACTGATCTCAAGAGAACCACGGGTGACGCAGCAAAACACAAGGCATACGAATAAGATTCAGCTTCCTCTTGCTCGTCCCCCTAAAGCAGATGATGCCAAGCTCGGATACCCCATCTGCTGCTGGCTTCTGAGCACCCAGACACCACGGGAGATCCCACTTAATAGGCAGATGGGTTTGTTTGTGACAGGATATCACTGTGGAGCCCGGGTTGGTCTGGAATCAGCTCAGAATTGGAGAGATCCATTTGCTTCTGCCTCCCAAGGGCTGGGATTAAAGCTGTACGCCACCATGTCCCTCAGTAGGCAAATTTTAACATATAACTTTTGACATGAAGCATGGAGTGCAAGAGGCCAATCTATCAAAGAATTCCCACAGGCCTGCAGCTAAGAGGATGCCATCTTTGGGGTTTGAAGAGGCATTCACTAGTTCTAATACTTACAGCAGCTAACAATGACTGCCATTTATTATCTGCCATTTATTTTAACAGGTGCATTGATTGCTCGTTAAAGATGCTGAGCACCCGTACAAAGCACTTCCGGGGCACTTCCGAGGCTCTTCCGGTGCCCGTGACAGTTCTGTGAAGTGTGTGTTGCACCCACACTATAGTAAAGATGAAGCAGAAATGAAGAGTGAGTTGCTCGGGTGACTTCTTAGCTGGTGCAAGGGTGTGGCTGGGGTCAACCAAGGCCTCTGGCTTCAGAGTCAGCTCCCCTTTCTGCAGTCACCGCGCACGGCTGGTTAATCAAGGCTGGTCCCAGGAGTTGCCTTTAGTTGGCGCTTCAGGGATGAAGCACTCACCTCTTCCCAGAAGAAGCCGACATCTAGGACTTTTTCTCACCTGCTCTGAGAGCTGAGGGTACAAAAGCCTTGCCAAACTGCCCCCGCCCACCCCACCCCTGCCATGCCTCTCCCAACCCTTACACCTACCCCTGTCCTTGCCCTCACCCCCTTGTCTCTTCCCTCCAAGTGAGCCAGGCCTCAGGCAGACGCTCCTTCACAAGGGTGGCAGAGGACACAGTCACCTGAAGAAAGAACACAGCTCCCAGGCTCTGCCTCACTAGTCTTGCTAGTTCACTGTTATTTTTCTTAAACGTCAAAGGTTTTTTTTCTCATTTCCAAAAATGTTATTTCGTTTGACAGTCCCATCGTAACCTTCATGCCCAGGAATGTGGGGTGCTCTGTTGTCTGTACTCAGACTGTCACGTTCATGAACAAACAGAAACTACTGTCAGTCCCAAGGTACCGCTCACTAGATCTGCAGAACACGTTGCCGGGTTTCCTCTGAGTGTTTTGTTTTAAATACAGCCCCGGCCTCATGCCGCTGTTGGAGCCCCAATAACGCTGGCCAGAGTTGGACCCCATGCAACGTGGCCCATCTTGGGCCCCATGTTTTAATTGTGCAGGCCATCATTTCTGCCATCTGTATCTCACGCAGCACTGGGGGAGGACATGTGGCATTACCATGGAGATGATTTATTGGACCTGACCCGGGCAGGCTCCCTTGGTGCCTCTTGCTTCCCCTGTTTGCCTGGAGGGACAGACTCCCCACTTGGGTGGTCTGACGTTGCTGTCAGCAAGGAACAGGCAGAACCTGGGAGCTGACAGTGTTCGCTCTGGGTATTGTGGAAATGTATCCTGTAAGCTGCTCCCCATTTTCCTGTCCCCAAACCAAGGAGGTCATGCCTTCCAACAGGGAGCACCAGCACTCTCTCTAGGGCATGGCGTCTGCTAATGGAACCAGCCACAGAGAGCAGAGGAAGGGGTCTTCTTGCTGTTCTATGCCATCCTTGATGGCAGATGGAGAGGAACTGGGGGACGTCCGGAGGCACAGCGGGATCGCTCAGTATGTCCCGTCCACATGAAGGTTACTGTGCCTGTGACCCAAGCTCCTTCATGAAATCATCTCCATATTTTCAAGTTCTCTAAAATGTGAGTCTATCATAAAATAAAACAAATATTTCACAGCTGGTGCACAACAGAATTCCTGTGTGTACAGCTGCCTTCAGGCCAGTGAGGAGACAGGGCCTTAGTGACATGCTTCTCTCTCTCTCTCTCTCTCTCTCTCTCTCTCTCTCTCTCTCTCTCTCTCTCTCTCCTTTCTTCCTTGTCTCCCCCATATATCCTCTGTCTTTCTGCTTCAGGCAGAAAGCTTTACATGTCTCTTGTGGGCCAGGGTCAGAACCAGGGCAGCCGTCCTGTCATGTCTGTATTTCAGGCACACTCGGGTGACAATTGAAAATCAAGTTCCTGGATAATATCCACAGAGTCACAGCAAGAAAGTGAGCCAGATAGTTGTGCAACCAGGCCAGCCAGCAAATTCCTTTACTACCTGCTAAAGAGACAAGTCAGCTGTTCTTCAGCTGTGTCCTGTGGGGGTTCTGGGTCTGGGGTGAACCCAGATACCCCCTATACCAACACTGTCCTACGAGTAATGGGAGATAAGGCTCAGGCTCCCGGTGTGGAGTCCTGACCACTGAATGCTTGTAGACCAGGGAGATGTTGGATGAGGTATTTATGAGACTGTGTTCCGCTTGGACTCAGGGCCTTCTGGAGACTCGTGCCCAGACCCGTAGGTGGAAAGGCCTCTGTAGAGTAAGCTGAATGACAGCAACACCCACAGTGGCCACCTGACAGCTTCCCTCCATCGAGGGGACTGATGCCCAGGGAACTTGCCTTCGCTCAGGCCTGTGGTTGACTTTCTCAGGTCTTGACATCTGACTGCACCCATTCAGCTGCAATGGGAATGTGGTTGCAGAGACCAATGTGACATCCCGGAGCGGCTTCTCCCTCTCGTCTCATCCCTCCTGCGGCACCCTGGCTGTCCCTGACTTGAGTGAGCGACCACAAGCATGCCCACACCTTCTTGTCCCCATGCCAGGTTACACAAAGCCATGATTGTATGCCACAGGCAAGACTGGACAGGGTAGCTGGCACTGGGGATACGCCGCCGCCCTTGCTGAGGGCTCACGGTCTGGGGCTTTAGACACCTCCCTTTGTTTGATGATGCTATAAACCCTGACATCTGGACGTGTTCTGCTTATTCCCTCCAGCCAAGGTTTGCCTCGGCAGGAGAAACAGCCAACTGAAGCTGCCAGGCCTTCCAGTCTGCAAACAGGCCCAGAAAGGAGCTTCATAAAGACGGATAACTACCTGCTGTCTCCAGTATGGAGGACAGGAGAGTGCCCTAGAAGGGATGCAGAGACAGCACAGCTGCTACCTCAAAAGCAAGAACCCCGACCGGGGCACACAGCTTTGTGTGGTAGAGCTGAACAGGGCAGCAACCAAGGGACAGAAGAGATTCCGGACTCAGCAGACTCAGGATCCCCAGACAGAGCAGATCGGGGCAGAGGCCAGCTCAGTCACTCTCACAGGATGGGTGCCCACTGGCTTTGTTCCAGAAGGACCATCCTTTGTCGTCACACACTTCTTACATCAAAACCCTGACACTTTTGACATCACCTACTTATGTTCTAAAAAATAAAATCTAACTTTTGCCAAAAAATAATATGTTTAAATTTCCAAATTCTACTAATAAACCATTGCCATATACAAAAATATATAATACTAATTAAAAAATGGGTTAACATTTAAAAAAGGTTTCCAGGTTTAATTTGGTACTTAATAAATAAAAAACAAAAAAACAAATTTAAACAATTAAAACAAATTCAACAAAAATAAAATAAAAATAAAAAACAAAAATAAATACCTATAACTTCTTAAAATTGGTTTAAAAAAGGCTTTAAAAAGTTAAAAATATAAAAAAGTTCTTCTACATAAATTACAAAAATGTAAAAAACTATAAACTATATAACTACTAACCAAACCACTTACCCTTAGCTTAAAATACCATAAACTCATAACCAAAATAAAAATTTATATCACAACTAACGCCAAGCCATGTCTGGCATAACCAACCACAAACTCACATTGGAGACATCTAATAAAAATCTATTCTCATATATTTAATATAATAATTCTAAAAATAATCTATACCACATAAAGTAATATATACTGTTAAACAATCTTTCCTATATATAAAAAAGCCTCATACCTAATAAAAATACATTCAAATGCAATTCCTTTAAGTCTTATGTCTATTTGTCATTCGCTACCTCCTTACCCCCCAGTCCTAAAACCCTGTCCCATCAATCCCAGTAATCAGCTGAGCTGATCCACTACACTCTGTTCTCAGCTCTGGACTGTAACACACAGCGAAGATGGGCCCCTAGCATCCAGTCCCTCCGTCAGTTAGGGCAAAGTCTCCAGTGAGGATACTAGCTGGAAGCTGAGCCTACATAAAGAAAAATAAGCCACATAAAGATGAAATATACACAGAGAGCCTGGATTATGCATACTATTCTGTTTTCTTTGAAAGTTTTGTCGGCAGAGAGACATTTGATTCTGGGGGCTGCTAAGTTAAACCAATATAAAGGTATCTTGACTTCAAATTTTGGGTCTATGGATATGTTGTTTGGAAAAGAGGTTCTGCTTTTGTTTCCACAGAAGATGAGGACCTATGGACTCCTTCCAGGCTAATGTGGTTTGATGGAACAAGAGCCCCCAAAAGATCTCTGTGATCCTAAGAATACTTTGCTAAACAAACAGCAGGAAGCAGTTTGAAGAAAACAATGTCCAAATTTCCAAAATGATTGTTTATAAATGTTTGTTTTTATTTAAAGCAGGATATGATATAGAAATGAATACTTTACATCAGTACTGACTTTGGTTTATTGATACAAATTTAAGGTCAATTTTGTTATATGTATTGCTGTTTTTGTTTAGGGTATTATGTTTAGGCAGTTCTTTATAAATAATGTATAATTAAAAATTATAGATTAATAGGCAGTCATTTATAAAAGTCAAACTTAAAGTCATTTTAGGTTTTCTAGATATTCAGAGATATATTTCAGTTAGATAATCTTCAAAACTTCAAAGACCTACAGAAAATGGCATTTAAATATTTTAATAACTTAGGGCTTTTTATGACAATGAGACATGTCTGCTCCTGGCAGCACCATCTACTTCAAGAGGAAGATGGGCATCGAAGAGGATCCTTATGGAGTTTGATAGCCATTTGGGCAAGAAACTGCTCTTTTCTGGACTGCTTGATGGAATACTGTAAACTGGACATGCAGGACCCACAGAAAAATGACTGCTGAACTTGCCAAAAGAAGTTGAGATGGTCCTTTGGGGTTCCTGATTCACAGAGAATACTATCAGACATTCTGCAGGACACAGAAGAAAGTAACTGATGAACTTTGCCAGTACAAGACAGAACAGATCTTCAAATTTCCTGCTTCACTGAAAAGTATGTCAGACACTATGGGACTGTAGGCTGAAGATGGATGTCCCAACATTACAGAAGAACTCTGGGTGACGGTCCGGGCAGTAAAATGTCTCTGTCAATTCTAGCGTTTTGGAAGTTGCTTACAATACACTTCCTGTTTACTTAGGTAATAGTATATCCTTTTGGGGTCTTTGAAGAGTTAAAGACAAATATAGTTATAGTTTTCCATAGTTATGATAAAAGATAAATTAGATATGAAACTTTAGACTCACAAAGATAGGATAGATGATAGAGTATTTTCTTTAACTTGCCAAATGTAAATGGACTAAATATCGTAACTATAATTCTTGCTTGATAATTGTTTTGTTACATGTAATTTTACTATATTAAAGTTAAAACCTTACTTTTATTTAGACAGAAAAGGGGGCATGATTGGGAAGTCCTTCTGTAAATCTGTTGCTTTCATTAATAAATGAATAAATCTGCTTCAGCCAATGGCTTAGCAGAGAATAGCAAGGCAGGAAATCCAAACCTTGTGGTAAAAATACAAATTAAAAAATTTGGCTTAGGGCTGGAGAGATGGCTCAGTGGTTTAGAGCACCGTCTGCTCTTCCAGAGGTCCTGAGTTCAATTCCCAGCAACCACATGGTGGCTTACAACCATCTGTAATGAGATCTGGCGCCCTCCTCTGGCATGTGGGCATACATGGAGGCAGAATGTTGTATACATAATAAATAAATAAATCTTTAAAAAAAATTTGGCTTAATTTAAGATATAAGAGTTAGCCGGAAATATGCTTGAGCCATTGGCCAGTGTTGTAATTAATATTGTTTCTGTGTGATTATTAGGATCTGTGTGGCCAGGAATGAACAGTCTCCCCTTACACCTACACATCTCATCCCTAATTCTCTCCTCATCACTGTGTTCTCAGCTTCCATCTCCCCAAAACACAGGACCCCAAATATGTGCACAGATGCTGTGCATAGCTGCTGTGCTGCTATGTTGTTGCTGCTGCTGCTGGTGCTGCTGCAAGATGGTCACAAAAGGAAGGGTGCCCAAGTTACGAGCTGTCTGTAGCTTGTGAGATCATGTAGACATTTAAATGATAGTTTTAGGGATAGGGAAGTAGTGGCATTGTAGAAAGACTGCCAGCCATGTCTGTGTTTGACCCAGCACCACAATAGGTAAACATTGATAGATGGTAGATAAGTAGATGGATAGGTAGATAGATGATAGATAGAAAGAAAGATAGATGATAGATAGATAGATGATAGATATAGATAGATAGATAGATAGATAGATAGATAGATAGATGATAGATAGATAGATAGATAGATAGATAGATAGATAGATAGATAGATGATAGATAGATAGATAGATAGATAGATAGATAGATAGATAGATAGATAGATAGATGAAGGTAGGAGGTGTGTGTGTGTAAGCAGGGAGTACACTGAACATCATCCAACCCCACCGTGCACAGATGGAAGGGCACTCCTTTATGAATACTTTTTCACACCCACAGAGTCCCCAGAGGCTAAACCATAGGACGTAGAGCTCTGAAGGCTGGAGGTCCAAATGCCAGTCAGCCAGGGTCCCCCTCTTTCTCAACCCTTGTGTGTCTAAGCATGTGTGCCCCTCCAAAACTGACCTGTTGAGATCTTTGCTCCAAAGGAGATGGTAAAGGGAAATGAGAAAGGGGAAGTGATTGGTTGGGTCATGGGGTAAAGCCCTGGTAAAGGGTTTGGCAATTTCATAAAAGGCTCCAGGGAGCTCCCAGCACTTTCCACCTGTGAAGACAGAGCTAAATGTGTGTATGGCCTGGCAAGTAACCTTCACAAAGATCTGCTGTAGCCCTGAAGCCCAAGAACTGTATGAAACCAATATATGCTGCTTCTGAGCCACCCAGTCTACAGAACTGAGCTATGGATGACCAAGCGGACTGAGACCTGACAACTGCTAGGGACCGTGCCACATGGCCACTGCACTCTCCTCATTCCCTGGACTGTGCAATGGCTGTCTGGCTTCTTATGTCCTCAGCCACCCCACATTCCCTCTCCTGTCCTTGTCCTCTTTGAGGACACCCTTGTATTGAATTGTCCATGCTTTTCCTTCACCTCTCAGCCAGCTCCGTTCATAGCTGCCATTGTTAGGACTTTGTCATGTGGGGAGGCTGAATTTGGGGCTTCTGACTGAGACAGAGGGCCCGGGGCTTTCATGATTCCTGTAGATGTGAGCAGCTGTATAGACCTGGCCACTGTGAACTGATACCACTGCCTTAGCTTCTTCGCAAGGTTTTTGCCTCCAGGCAGCATCTTGGGGAGCTGGGTCTGGGGTGCAGTAGGGGTTTCTGGGTGACAGCATTTCACTTTGCCATCCTGAGAATAACAGCTCAGAGAAACTCCCTGGGCAGATGGTGTGTCCGCTAAGCAAGCACCCACCACTGGGTCACAGGCATCAGGCAGGTTTCTAGTTTGGTCCAGCTTGATTTCCTTAGCGTCTCTGCTTACACATACAGAACTGCCCTCATGATCCTGCCGTTCTAACCATGAAGACCTGAATTCACCTCCCCCGCCCCCCCCCCCCGCCGCACCTGGTACAAGTAGGGCATGGTGGCGTGTACCTGTAATCTGAAGAGGCAGGGGCAGAGGCAGTGGGGTCCTGGAACTCACTGGCTAGCCAGTCTAGCCTGATCAGAAAGCTCAAGATGTCAGTGAGACACCCCATCTAAAAAGAACTAAGTGAACAGATCTCGAGGAATAGCAACAAAGATTGACATATTAACATATACACCTGTCCCCTCCTCCCCACAGGTATACACACATAATCAATCAGTAAGTAAGTAAATCTGTTCTTTTACTTTTCCATTTCAGCAAACCTGATATTTTTGAGCAATATTAAAATCGTTTGAAGTAAATCTGATTCTTCCCAACCATACGCAGGCCTTTAGCATTCTAGTCTACCCATGACTATGGCTCAGCCACCCCAGGGTCTGTGCTTCCTGTTTCCCACAGACTGTGACAGGATAGCACCATCCTGCTTCCCGTGGACCAAGCACGCACAGAGAGCAGGCAGAACCCCCTCCTCCCATCATGTACCTCTGGTTTGCCGTAGTGATGTCTCCTGCCCCTGTTGCCATACTGACAGGTGAAACTGAAGCCTTTGACACCATGGTGACTGGTCCATGCCATTCTTTAGACATAGCCAGGGCTGCTCTCTGCCATAGCAGTGGGGTGTATAGAGTGGCCCAGGCAGATGGTGCAGCCAATATCAGATCCCCATACCGAGGTTCTTACTCCTCTGCATCCTCAGAAGCTGGGGACTTGATCCATGAGGGCTTAGCAGGGCTTCCTTAGTTTCCTCCCCAGCACGCAGAATGGGGCAGCCTAGAGAGAAAACATAGCCAATCACCTCAGAGTCCAAGATTTACAGCTGCACAGGTAAAGAAGAAGCTGGTGACTTGCCCAGAGTCGCCTAGCAGGTGGAAGACTGACCAGAGCCAGCAGCGTTTGTACCACCTGAATGACTCACTCCCACCCTGCCCTCTTCTGTGGCTTGATACGTGTGGACCTGGAACCTTTGGGTCAGGAGTGTAAATACTGGAGCTTGCCTTAGAAGACTCCCAGTGGTGGGGGAGGAGCCTTCTGGAACTTTCCACCTGCTAAGGAGTGGGTATCAGATGAAGTATGCAGCATCTTCCTATAGGAAGAGAAATACTATGGACACTCTGAGCTCTCTGAGCAATGGCCTCTCTGCAGGAATTCCACAGTGCTAGCTCTGTGCTGCTGGACACACTGACCACAACCCCTAGGAAACCTGTCACTGCCCTATGCCCGGTGACCCTCAAGAGTGTTTGCTGTCCCTTATGATGTCAGTAAGAGCATAATAAATTGCAAAATGACGGAATATATTACATTGTTTTAAATGGGAAACACGTTTTTCCCAAGCCAAGCTTGTGATGTTGAAGAAGCATGCCGGTGTGACTTCCGGGCTTGCTGAGGTGCTTGGGGGTTCTCTGCTTCTGTGGATCTCCTGATAGTGAATCTTTTCTCGGATACATCAATCCGTGTTCCCTTCCTAGCTTCTGTCGGTACCAGATTAAACCCTTGGCCCGAGGCATTCCTGCTGACTTTCACAAAAGGATTTTAAGACGTGTGAAAGGACTGAATTCACAGTTGGACTTGGTTAATAAAGAAAATGATTTCTAAACCCCAGCGGCTGAGCCAGGGCCCATGAAAGCCTCACCTTGCCAGGCTGGGTGGGGACCCGGCTGCTGAGAGATGCTGGAATCCTTCGTGACCACGTCACACAGTGGAAAAGCAGAGAAGAGAAAGTCTGGGGCCACAGCGCGCTCAGAGGCAGTGCAGGCGAGCAGCGTTGGGTAGAGACTCAATGTGGGCAGGGACTGGATTCTGCTTCTGGGAGCTGAGTGACTTGGGAATCTTGCCCAGCCTAGCTGATGTGATCTTCCTGGTTTAGCAAATGAAAAAGAGGGTAGAGATCACGTAACTTTAAGAAGAAATTGAAAGACAGTGGTTGCCCCATTTCCCAAAGAATGCCGGTGCTGTCTTGATCTTGGTTATCCATAAATTTCCAGGTCTCAAAATACACATATTTCACCTTCTAGGGCATTGAAATAATACAGCTGGTACAATTTGATGTACACCACCCCCAAAGACGTGTGCCTTCCAGTTCCTGAGTGGAAAATGCTAGGAGTTCTTAATGCAGTGCCGAAGCTGATCACTTCTCGGGTTTGCCTTAAGCAGGGTGGTGGTTGTCTGCTAGCCCTGGGCTTGTGCCAGCAGCCAGAATTTGCATGTGGGCACAGTCTCCCTCTACTTTCACAATTACCTCTGGGAGGCTTTGAAGCCCCAGAAAATGTCCCTAAGGGCTTGTCTGAAAAGCCTGGTTTTGTTCAGCCCGTCTGTTTTCAAAGCTGGCTGGGAAAAAGATATGTGTGTAAGAAAGGCACCTAGCGATTAGCATGTACACCTGGCCCTGCGTTCTTGCACGTTCCCAGCAACGGCAGGGAGTGGCTGCCTCCCTAAGTGAGGCACTGACCAGGGAAAATGCCCCTCCCGGGACTCAGCATACCTTCCAGTCTCCTTCCTTCCTGAAGGCTGCCCTGAGCACCCTGGTCCTAGTCAGTACTAAGGAGCCCCCAGGCACAGTGTGGACAGAGAATCGCTGGCTGAGCTAGACCAGTGCTCAGGGACTGGAAAGAAAGTGCCTCTAGATCCCCGAGGCTACATTATTGCTCAGGGTCTCTAAAGTCGCTCAGGCTGCCCTAGAATGGGGCTGTAATCCCCATTCTCAGTGATTCAATATGTACCCCAAAACTCTGCCCTCGAAGAGCAGAGGAAGGAATGTCCCTGCCCTAGGCCCTGGGCTTTTCTTCTTCACTTTGTGAACAGCAGAGCTTTCTGCTCACCTCGAATGAAAACAGAGATTAGCCCCCAGCACAACCTACAGGACACTGAGCATCCCTGAATTAAGACGGACCAGCCTCTGAGAGTCCCCAAGAGCCCAACAGATGAATTAAAGACAGGAAAATATACTCCACAGCTGTCAGCTGCCACCCTGCTCAGCCTCCACCGCCTGACGGCCAAAGGGGTGTCTACACCAGGACTAACGCGAGCACCTGGGGTGACATCCTCACAGATAGTCACCCATGCAGTGCTGAACGCTGGCTGTGTAAGCCTGTGCCTGGTGTGGCCGGTCTCAGCACCGCTGTTGTTGGGCTGCACATACCAGGAAGGCTTGCTTCCCAGCACACAAACACAACTCCCCACTGTGTGCTGGCTTATCAGCCTTAGGAAGTCTGGGAGATTAAGGTACAAGCCTAGTGTTTTTCTATGGGACTAAAGAGGCCTTTTAATCTGAAGTATGCTGGCAGTAAACAGAAATGTTTTATGAGAAACCATCTAATGTGATATGGTTCTATGGATGTTCCTGTCTGCTAGGTAGAAACCCTATCACATTGAGAAAAATAGGGCCAGAGGGACCATGAAGCAGTGAAGGCCATGCTGTTGATCCCAGAAAAGGTTAGGGGGACACAGGTGAGATCAGAAGGCACAGCGGTGAGAGAGCTAAATGCGTGGTAGGCATGTGATCAAACACCATGGTGTGTGCTACAGAGGGTCAGGCTGTACCTGACCGATGGAGTAGAATGTGTAAAGGAGGAACTCAGGGTAGGGAGACTGGTGGATTGAGCCCTGGAAGAGCACATTCCCCAGAACCCCACCATTGCTCAGGACAAGAGCCCCCTTTGGGTGATCCCAATTCAGGCCCACCCTTTCTCTGTCTTTGTTTCTGCAGATGAGAAAAAGACTTGGACCAGCTGATGCTCCAGCTTCAATGGGCGCTCTCACCTGCAGAACTTAACCTGGGACATCATTTTATAAAGGTAGAAGATGCATGTTACTCTTGTCCATGTTGTTTCTGATTGGGGCGAAACTCAGTTAATTAACAAAAGCAGCAGTCATAGGCCAGCAACAATGTTTCTTTTGACAGAACCACGGGCATCGTCAGTTTGTCCTCGAAGCTTCCTTCTGTCGCTTCTGTTGTAGACAGGTACAACCACCACTGCCTCAGGGCTAGAGTCACTGAGAGTGAAATTAAACAGCGTGCTTTGTCTTTTCATACCCCTCGGGTCTGAGGCATGAATGACGCCCACGCTTGCCTGCCGTAGACTCCATCCATAGCAAAGGTTATCAGAGAGCAGAGAGGGCCTGCTGACCTGCAGGTGACACAGACAAAGGACTTCCAGCAGCAGGGGCCAAGGCTCCACTTACTGCTGACTCCCACAGAGATCCTTTTCTTAAGTTAAACAGTCAATTAAACAGGGCTGGCTGAAGAGCCAGGCCAGTTAACCATTAATCCTGGGGAGGGAAGTCAGCCCGCTCCTGCTCCCTCGACCACCACGGTTGGAGCTGTGACCTGTGGGTGCATTCCGGGGATCGTCTATCCAGACTGGGAAGGCAGATCGGGCATGGCTGACATCAACCTTGAAGGAGAGCCACATCCATGAGTCTGCACCCTGAGTTTCTTCACTGCTCTCTTGTCCTTGGTGACAGTCAGAGGAGGGAGTTCGTGGGGACTGGGGAGGACGGACTTGCCTCTGGACCCAGGAAGAAGAGTTCTTTTACCTGCCCTAGGGGTGTGGCTGGAGAGTTCTGAGCCACAGAACAAAGAATGTAAGGGATAGGTGCTCAGAGTTTGAAGGGACAAGGACACTTGGGGTTCAGGACTGTAGTATCAGTGGGCCACAGACAGGAGCTATGCCAACTGCCAGCCTTCTAAATCCAGACAGCGACAGCAAGTACCCTACATTCCTAACAAGACTGTTGCCACTGTGGCACAGAGAGAACCCCAGGGACCTCACAGCCTTTTCCTTCACAGACTCTCCATGACCATGATGGCTAGAACTAAAGCCCCAGACAGTGTCTTTCCGGCAGTACGGAAGCCATGTATGGGGTCATGGCTTCTACCAAGTCCCCGCACTAGCCAGTGTGGAGAATTGATCCCTCCATCAAAAAGAAAGAAGAAAACTCTAGAGGCTGGAGAGATGGCTCAGCAGTTAACCGAGGACTGCTCTTGCGTGTGGTTCCCAGCTCATGTCTGCCTGTGACTCTGGTTTGGGGAACTCTGGCACCTCTGGTCCACTAGCGTACTTGCAAACATGTACACACATACATACACATAATTAAAACTAATAAAACTGAATCTAAAAAATAAAGAAGGAAATCTCTGGAACCTCAGAGATGAGGGAAGTAAAAGCAATACCCATAATTCTCCCAGGCTGCTGCCCTAAATACAGACAGGACCAGCTGCCAGCACTGGGGTCCCTGATGCAGAGCCCAGGGTCTCCAGACTTCCTTGCAACACCTGAGTCCCAGCCAGGAACAACTCTGAGGGGCAGAGCCTGCCTGCTGCTCCCACAGCCGAACCCAGCCCCGCCTCCCTGGCTCCGAGGTGGAAGATGGAACCTGTGCAGGTAGAATTAACACACACTAAGGAGCCAGGGTGATTAACGAGTTTGGATGGAAAGGGAGAAGCGGAGGAAGCAGAGCAAATGCTGCCACCAGGCCTGTAGTTACAGTTACCTCCCTGAAGACAGCCGGCCTCTGCGGCAGCCCGCCTAATGGTTCCTGGGTAAACAGGGGGCTTAGAAGGAGCAGCTCCGCCCACTCGGCCCTGCTCAGACTTGCTCCCTCCACAGAGGAGCCAAGTGAGGTGCCTCCTGGATCCCAGCTATGACGGGAGTGGAACGAGTAATTCAGCACGACCACGTTCTGTTTCCACGTGGAATACGTTGCTTCACTTGCCCACTTGATACTATTTTAAGGTAGATTTCTCTTAGGCTGTGTGCACAGAAGAGTTGGTTTTTTGGTTCTTGTTTTTTTTTTCTCCCCCCCTCCCCCCCCGCACATGGCTTTTCTTAGGAAAAGCGCGGGGGGGGGGGGAGTTGGCGGGGAGGAAACATGATCCATGTAGGTTTGGGTCCTCAAAGAGAACTAGAACCCATTTGTGCTTCCTCTGCTTTGAAACCATCACCTTGAAGCCCTGCTCAGGTAGCCAAGCGGTTAACCTGTTTCATGAGAAAGAGGGGCTGTGTTTGGCAGCCAGCAAGGCCCTTTGTAGTAAGATCTCTTATCAGGACCCACAGGTTCACAGGGCAGCGGGGACATGAATGCCCTGGTTTCTGTGGCTTTTAAAGTGAGCCCTGGACGAAAGCGTCTCTGGAGCTGGCAGAGCTGGGGTTGAGAAGATAGGCAGCTGGATGTTTCCTGAAAGACATTTTCCAGCCTCTGGAAGATCAGAGGCGCTTTCAGCTTCCAGAAAGGCGACGTCGCGGGCTGCACACAGCACGCACAGATTGCCTCGTGCGTGCGTCCTACCATACCCCCAATCGAAGGTGGGCCCGGGGCACGGGGTTGGTCCCACACCAGAAGCCTCACTCTGACTTCCTCTGGGGCTTTTGTGCTGCTGGGTGCTTTGTGTTAGCGACAGTCAGACAGTCAGAACGCCTGCAAAAGGGGTGCGCGGCCTCCCGCTGGGGGAAGCATTTCATTCATGGAGCAGAGGCAGAAGTATGGGCTCATTGAAAATGAAGCAGCTCGTGTAGTGGGATATGGTGTGTTATTCCTTGGACAGTGAATCCAGAGACCTGCTCTGCCTTCTGTGGCCGCCACAGATGATCTGCTTAGGACCAGGGTTGGTAGGGCTTCAGCCTTAGCCTATGGACAGCCCCACATACCCGTCATTTCCCACACCATGTGGAGAGACACCAGGGCACAGCCGCAGCTTCTCCACTGCTGCTGTTGGTCGTCTCGTGGCCCGGCTCTGAGGTACCATGGCTCCTGGGCCTGGGAGAAGATCCCACCCAACCATCTGGCCCCATCCAGTGTGGGAAACAGATGGTGCTGAGCTCTGTTTAAAGTGAGCAATGCTCTTTTCTCATCTCATGGGCGGACTGTCTCCTCCCTCTACGTCCTGGGTGTAAGCGCCTCCATAAAAAACTCCCATCCTACAGCCTGGCTGTACCTCACTCTGGCTGGACACCTGGGTGGGCCAGAGA